TTTAAAAATCATTCATGTACCTGGAAAAAACAAATGTTACAGCAGAGACTTTATCAACAGCATCTATGTAGTCACTGCAACAAGGTCAGCCAGGTGGACCTCATAGCATACGAGTTCCCCGATTGGGGCTGTTAATCCGGTCCAATCCGGGAGCCCTGCTTTACAGATAAAAAGAGGACTGTCAGACATTCTGAAAGCTGGCTCCGAGGGAGCTGGACTGGTGTCAAGGATTTTCCATGTGCAAATAAAGGCTGACTTGGTGATGGGATACCAACCTCTGTGGAATTATTTCAACCTATGAATGAAACAACCACTGCGATGAAAATTGGTGTATGAAAAATACAGTTGCCATGTAATTCATTGCATATTTAATGTGAATGTGCTATAGTTTTAAATTATTTTTAAAAATGTTCTTGTGTGATAAATTTCTGTCTCATTGTCACAAACAAATTTTCAGACTTGTGTGTTATGTTTCAGTGAAAGATCACCATATTCAATTAAGCAAAATCAAAATATGATATATCAAGCCAGATTATATTCTGGGATCTGTCCTGTTCAGTAGTAACATCAGCTGGGATTATAACACAATAATAAAACTTTCCAAGATAAGGAAACAAAACTATATACAATACTCCAGGTGCTGTCTAACCAAACCCTATACAAATGAAGACAGACTTTGCTATTCCTGTCCTCAAATCCTCTTGTGATGAAGTCCAATGTACCATTACCCTTTCTACTTTCCTGCTGCACCTGCGTGATAGCTTTCAGTGACTTATTGATGAGGACACCCAGGTCCCTTTGCACATCTACACTTTCTATTCTTTTATCACTAAAGAAAAACGCCAAACATCTGCTCCTCCTACCAAAATGGATAACCTTACATTTTGCCATATTATATTCCACCTGCCAAGTTATAGAATAGAATTGTAGAATTCTTACAGTGCAGATTTGTATGGACCACAGATTTGTTTAGCTCATAAGAGTCTTCATCAACCCTCTGAAGAGCATCCCACCAGACCTAACCTGCACCTTTTTGGACTGTGGGGAAGCAACTGGAGCACTCAACTGAAATTCATGCAGACATGGGGATAACAAGCAAACTCCACAAAGGCAGTTACTCAAGGTTGGAATCAAACCCGGGTCCCTGGTGCTGTAAGGCAACAGTGCTAACCACTGTGAGACTGTGTTCTTGCCCACTAAACCTATCCAAATCCTCTCTGAGCCACATTATAGAACATAGAACATAGAACATTACAGCGCAGTACAGGCCCTTCAGCCCTTGATGTTGCGCCGACCTGTGAAACCAATCTGAAGCCCATCTAACCTAAACTATTCCATTATCATCCATATGTTTATCCAATGACCATTTAAATGCCCTTAAAGTGGGCGAGTCTACTATTTTTGCAGGCAGGGCATTCCACGCCCTTACTACTCTCTGAGTAAAGAACCTACCTCTGACATCTGTCCTATATCTATCACCCCTCAATTTAAAGCTATGTCCCCTCGTGCTAGCCATCACCATCCGAGGAAAAAGGCTCCCACTGTCCACCCTATCTAATCGGCCCTAGGCCGAATTGCAGTCTGCCATTGCAAAATGATTGTTTATTTCTGCTCTCTGTTTCCTGTCAATCAATCCAACCTGTCGGTACATTACCTCCTACCGCACGTGCTTTATATTTTCTAACCATCCTCTTGTGGGGATGTTATCAAAATCCTTCTGAAAATCTGATTAGTCCATGTTCACTGCCTCCATTTTATTTAAAGTTTTGTTAGAAACATTCTCAAAAAGCTCCAGAAGGTTCATTAAACATAATGTGTTTTCTTTATGCTTATTAAGATCATTATTATCCAAGTGTCCATTTACCACATCTTTTATAATGGATTTCCCTTACCATTTTCTCTCTCTTTCCCTTTTTTAATAGTGGGATGGCATTTCTTACCTTCCAATTTGTTGTAATCATTCCAGAATCTACAGAATTTTGGAAAGTAATCACCAATATATCCACTATTTCCTTTTTCACCATTGTCAAGTATCAGGACTTACCACCCTTCAGTATCATTAATTTCTCAACTGTAGTGATTGGAACTAGGTTGAACACAAGGTCATTGATTGGGGTTGTTAACCTGGGCCAATCAGGAAAGACCTGGTTGATCAAAATAACCAGGAGATGGGCCCTCTTGTGGCACAGTGGTAGAGTCCCTACCCCTAGCCTGGGAAGCCTGGGTTCAAGTCCCACCTGCTCCAAAGATATGTAATATTATCTCTGAACAGGTTGATTGGGATAATAGGTTAAATAATGGAAAAAAATATAACCAGGAGATTAGAAACTCCTCAGTTCAGAAGACTGACTCCGAGCTGGCTGGCCACAGCCAGCATACTGTGCAAAGGGTGACCTGGTGATGGGATACTGGCCTCAGCACAGTTTTTCACCAACATAACCTTTCTACTAATACTAAACTCCTTCAATTCCTTTCTCTCTAGTCCCTTAGATCTCTTATCCTGCAAGATTTCTTGTACTTTTCTTATGAAGACAGACACAAAGTAATCATTCAGCTTCTCTACCATTTCTTTCTTCCCTATTATGACTTCTCATGACGTGCCTGTAATGGACCAACATTTTTCTTTGCTAAATGTTTCTTTTCCACATACAAATAGAATCCTTTATAGTCATTGACAACCCAACTTCAGATTGAGACACTTCATTTACAAACGCAATTCAAGATTATTCTTCAGTCCATTCTCATTATTTGATACTAGACCTAAAATAACTAACTCTCTAATTGGTTCCTCAAATATTTGCCTAACATACTCTAGAAACTCATCCTTCACAGTGTTAGTGATCATTAGGTTTATTCCGTTCTCACCTCTGATCACATGAATGATCTACACTACATGCTTCTCTATTTCCTGATCAATATCATAACTCACATTATCATTACTTCTGTTGGCCTTACATACAGCTCCTATCAATGTTTGCTGCCTCTTGCCGTTCTTTGGTTCCACCCGAACTGATTCCACATTTTGTTCTGATCTAAGATCCTCCCTCACTAATGCATTGATCCCATCCCTTCTCAATGCACAACTCTTTTTGTCTGCTCTTCCTAAATGTCAAAGATCTTTGAATATTCAGTTCCCATATTTGGGGATTCTATGCATTCACATACATCTACAGTAACCCTGATTTAGACTTTATTATTTATTCTGCTTCCACCCAATACTTTATTATTTCTTGTTCTGATGTCATCTTTCTCTTCTAATTCCATGACCTTGGTTTTGCTGTCTAATATTACCTACTGGTTCTCGCCCTACTATCAAGTTGGTTCAAACATTCTCTAATTGCATTAATAAATCAATAAATAAACATGGATATTAGTCTGGTTCTGTTCAGGCCGTTCAGCTTGTAAGATCTCATCACTTCCAGAACTCACCCAGATGCCCCAAAAATCTGAAATTCCTCCCTTTTGCACCATTCCTCCAGCCATGAATTCATCCTATTTCTATACTCATTCGTGTTTTGATCTTTGTGGTCCAACTTGCTATTTTCCTTCCAATTCCCAAATTCTGTCTATCAATTCTGATTCGTTTCCTTTACTCTATCACTCATTCTTCCTTTAAAGTCACAATGACAGACTATTAACATCTGCATGAATGAAGTACTAGGAGATTAACTGACACCTATGATGCTGTCCTCCAACAGGAGGCAACATCTTTGCAGAGAAATTGCAACTGTGGATGAACCTGGTGAAAAAATTGTTTTCAAAGACTAGTTTTACAAAAAGTGGCTAGGATATCTGACTCAATATTTAAAGGGCTCCTCTGTTGTTCAGACATAGTGATATGAAAATATTGGGTTGTTTTAAGGTGAAACTTTTTTTTTAAGAGTGAAGAGAAAGGAGATAGCAACAAAGGTTCTTTACCACATTCATTACCATATTGATGAGTTACATTATAAACAATACTTTGATGAGATCTATTTATACCTAAAGTGGATACCCAAAAATTTTAATTAATCTTATTGTAGCAGTCATCACATTCTGCTATCTATTTGATACATCATCTTCAATCATTTCTATTTACAGCCACACAACCACCACAATAAAGAGAGCAGCACAGCTCCTATTGTGTTCCAATGTTTTTATTATGGCTGAGTGAAAGCCTCTTGGGACAACAAGCTAGTTATTTCATCATGTATTATGATGTTTAAGAGCTGTCTTGCAATTGACTAACAGATACAAAATAAATCACATTTCACCGTGGCATTTATCCATTTCACCAAATTTGCAGTTGACTTATGTTTTAGCTTTGATACAACTAGAGATTACATTGGAAAATTACCAAAAACATAACTGGAGGTTTGGTCGTGACTTCCTCAGCAGCAAATTGGTTAACAAGAGCTGTTGAAATTAGAGCCTAATGTATAGAAACTGTTCATGACCTGGGTAAGAAAATTTGCTGCTTTATCAAATATAGGAAAATTGAGTTTGTCTCATTCACAAATAACACTATCCTTGTCCTCCTTCTACAATTACTATACCACTTTCTTTACTGTCGGTAAAGTTTCGCTCTTTGGTGGTCATACACTCGCGATTTGCTGGTCTTAACTGTCCTGCGCGACAAATGATTGTTTTGATACTTGTGGCCACATTTTTCAACATTATCTGGAACTGCCCCAAATTACTGGAGACAAATGAACAGCTAGCTACAAAGTATGCAGATACTGTGGACATGACATGATAGCAAGAGGTCTGAGACCAATCCTATACGATAACTAATCCTGACATTAACTTTTCATCATTGCTTTGGTGGATCATAAAATTACAACCACATCCTCCTCTGATGGGTAGACGCTTTTATTAAACCAAACTTTAACTGTGTTGGAAGAATTATTGCTTAGAAAGTAATTGTTTTGTGAACACAGTACTTCAGCAGCAACGAGCACCCAGTGGCCCATAAAATGATCACACAATATATAATTCATGAACTCTGAAGACTGAATTACCTGTAAAAAGTCCATGCAAGTATAAGGCAGCAAGTCATCCAAGTGGCCAATGTCTTTTGAAAAACGGTTTAAGATTCGACCTAACAAGTAATAAAACAAAAAGTTGAAAACTTTTACTAATTTGAACAGTTGCAGTAGTCTTATGAAATCAGTCATATGCCTCATCTTCTGAGTCAAATACAGATCCTATAGGAAATCACTGATGTTTATCACTGAAATCACTGAAATCCAGATGTTTAAAAATGACCACTTAACAACATCTTGAGCAAATGGTTTAAGAGCAACTTGCCCAGCTGAGAATGTTCAATTGCTGATTTTTAAAAAAAATTAATTTATTTTCTAATCAACCTGTTCAGAGATGTTATTACATCTCTGAAGCAGGTGGGGCTTGAATCTGGGCCTCTTGGTTCAACTGCTGCTGAAATGCAGAAGATGACATCTGGCTAAATCTCTTACAAAGATTTTCTTGATAGGGATCAATCAATTAGGCCTTTGACAACATACTGATTAATTAGATATCTGAATTTTTAAGAATGCAATCGTGGTATGAGTGTGTTGCTGGGTGCCTGTCCGTATTTGCTCTTGAGAAGAGGATGGTAATCTGCCTTCATGAACCACCCCAATCCACTTGTTGAAGGTAGACCCACAATGCTGTTAGGGAGAGAGTTCCAGGATTTTGACACAGTAACACTGAAGAAACAGAGGTACATATCAAAGTCAGGATAGTGGCAGAGCAGTGCTTGCCAATGTCACTTTTGGTGCCTAGATCGATGGCAGGTGATCTGTCTGGTTTCCTTCCTTCACTGAAACTAAGAGATTATTACTACTAAATGGCTTGCTTGGCAATTTCAGAAGGTTATTAAGAGTCAACTACACTGCTCTGGGTCTGGAGTCACAAATAAGGTCAGGCCAAGTAAGGTCGGCAGCTTCTTTCCTGTAAAGGGCAACAATGAACCATATTTTCAAATACTGACTAAATTCATAATTTGAATTAGTAATGAGAAACATTTTGGGAATAACTTGAAGATAATCTTTCATTCATCTCAAAGATGAAGCAGTTACAAATGTGAACTAGGTATTGATAAAGTGGGGATTTCACTGTCCCTGATGTTCCTCAGAATCCAGGCAATGTCCACAATATGAAATAAACCTAACTTAGGAAATGTTAATAAACATTGATCCACACACTCTGATAGGGAGATTGTCATTGTAGCAGTGTAGACTGGAGTTGTGAATCCGAACCATATGGAAATACTGATGGAACAGACTTCCAGGGAACTGCCTGGAAATGGAAAATTCTGATGGGCAATTCTACCGAATTTATAACCTTCCAAGAGAGCACTTTAAAATTAGAGAATTGAGAATTTTGCATCACTTAAGCTTAATAGTTACACAAGCTGGGTAACTATTTGGCTGTGCTTGCTATTGCACACTTTACTTGGCCAGGACCATGTGTAATGGCTATCCCATATTAAGGCAACCCATGCTCAGGTACCTAACTCTACCTTAGTCCCATCTTTCAAATGAAGCTCAGGACCTAGAACATCAGTACTTTCATGGAAAAACAGTAGCAATTTGCTGGAATGCTGCACCATCTAACCAAGGAAGTCCTGTGTATTGACAGTGGCATTAATGCCCTCAAGGAGGCACTGGGCAGAGATGTATATTAGCTTAAGGAGAGGTTGGACAAGCTCGGATTGTTCTTGCTAGAGCATTAGAGGAGAAAGGCAACCTGACAGAAGTATGTTAGCTATGAGAATCACACACACAGCGAATAGTTGGAGTCATTTTCCCAGATGGAAATGTCAAATACTAGGGGGATAAAATTTAAGGGAGATTTGATAGGGAAGTTTTTTTTTTAAATGCAGAAGGTGGCGGGTGCCTAGAACATGTCGTCAGGGAAGGGGGAAAAAGCAGATACGTTAGCAAAGTTTAGGAGGCAGTTAGACAGACACATGGGCAGGCAGGGAAGAGAGGGATTTGGACAGTGAAGAAACTGCGATATATTTCCAAGTCAGGATGGTGAGTGGCTTGGAGGGGAACTTGAAGGTGGTGGTGTTCCCATATATCTGCTGCTCTTGTCCTTCTAGATGGAAGTGATCATGGGTTTGGAAGGTGCTGTCTGAGGATCTTTGGTTAATTTCAGCAGTGCATTTTGTAGATAGTATACACTGGTACTACTGAGCATCAGTGGTGGAGGCAGTGGATGCAGTGTCAATCAAGTGGGCTCCTTTGTCCTGATGGTTTCGAGCTTCAAGTGTTGTTGGAGCTGCTCTCATCCAGGCAAGTGAGGAGTATTCCACCACATTCCTCAATTGTGCCTTATAGATGGTGGACAGGCTTTGGAGAGCCAGGAGGCGAGTTACCCGCTGTAGTATTCTTAGCTTCTGTGGAAATGTCACCGGACCCAAAACGTTAACTCTAATTTCTCTCCACAGATACTACCAGACCTGCTGAGCTTTTTCCAGCAATTTCTGTTTTTGTTCCAAGCTTCTGACCTGCCCTTGTAGCTGCTGTGTTTATGTTGTGAGCCCATGAGTTTCTGGTGAATGATAACTCCCAGGATGTTGATATTGGGGGATTCAGTGACAGTAGCACCATTGAATGTGAAGGAGCAGTGGTTAGATTGTCTCTTATTGGTGATGGTCATAGTCTGGCATTTGTGTGATAAGAATGTTACTTGCCATTGTCAGCTCAAGCCAGCGTATTGTCCAGATCTTGTTGCATTTAGATACAGAGTGCTTCAGTATCTGAGGAGGCGCAAGTGGTGCTGAACATTGTGTAATAATTGGCGTGCATCCCCACTTCTGATCTAATGATGGAGGGAAGGTTATTGAAGGTTATCATCTACACGTAGAAAGTCCTTGACACTGATCGAGTTCCCTCAGAGCCGGATCTCAGTGTCAGGATGTCTGACACTCTTGTTTTTATGTCAGTCAAGGCTCGCTGATTGGACCAGATGAACTGTCCCAATCAGGGAACTCACATTCTAAGAGGTCCACTTGGTTAACCTCATTACAATCATGACACGCAGTGAGTTTCTTTGTGGAATAAACAAAGGGCTCATGAATCTTCATCTCATTCTAACCTAGAAGGCTGTACACCACACAATAATCAGTGTGTACTCTGCAACCCTAGAAGCTATAGATGAGGCTAAAGAGGATTTTCATTCCAGCCTTGATCAGTTGTCCTGTGCCTTAAAAGGAGACAAACGAATTCTCCCTGGTGATGTTAGCGACAGAGAATTGAGGAGGACACAACTCTGGAAAGCTGAGATTGGCCAGTAAGGTATAAGGAACATAAAGACCAACAAAGTTGTCTTCCTGATGCAAATGGATCTGACACATGGTCTGGTCATAACAAACACGCTGTTCCCTTAGAAAAACAAATAAAAGACCACATGGGAACATCTTCACTCCAAACATTGGCATCTTCTCAACTGTGACATCATTTGAGTGAGGGATCACGAGAACGCCCGAATTACCCGCCCTATGACAGGAGCTGATGACTGCCGTACTGATTGTTGCCTTAATCCTATCTATTATCTCCGTCAGCCTGGCCCAAAATTGGCAAAGAAGCATTGCTGCAGGAAATTCAATTGTCGATGGACTTGAGCACCATGTGAAGAAAGATCTGCTCACAGTCAACCTGGCATTGCTCAATAAACAGGACCTACAGAATGTCCACAGCATCAAGTCTACCCTTAAAGCTATCTCATACAGCAGCTGGATGAAACTTTAGGTCGCCTACCAAGAATCACCTAGACTGGCCTGACGAGAATAAGTTGGACCAGGAGCTGTTAAGATCCAAGTGCATGGTATACCTGAACTAAATGCACCAAAACCCGAGGGGAAGAAAGTAGGGCAATGAAGGCCAAAGTCCAACAAAAAGACCCTCAAGCTAAAGAATAGATGATGTGTAGAAAGACTACAAGAAAGTCAATGATTCACTGACAGCCAGAACATGCATCGATTCTTCAGCAGAGTCAGGATCATTCACAACCTGAATGCTTAGCCCACCGAGAGCTAAGAACGGAATGGCACTCAATTCGGACAGAGTGGCAATTAATGCTCACTAGACGAAACATTTCAAGGATCTCCTCAACCAGGACTTCATCCTCAATATGAATGGCCTGATGTCATTCCAAAGTTTGCTACCAATCTCAATGCAATCCCAGCCTGATGTAAGGTTGAAATAAATCATGCAACTGTTGATGACAAACACAGCTGCTGATGCACATGGAATCCCTACTGAAATGCAGTGAAGAATGCTTTTGATACAAATACATCACCTCAATTCCCTCATCTGGGAAGAGGAGAACAGGGAACCTCGCAAGACTTTGTTTACTATCTTCAAGAAAGGAGACAAGACTGAATCGGGTAACTAGAGGGGACCCTGCTGTCTGCTACAGGGAGGGTCACTGCAAGAGTCCTTTTCAATCACCTCCTCGCAGAGTCTGCAGACCTTCTCTTGGAGTCACAATAGAGATCTGTCCATCATGAGACGCAGTAGACAAGATTTTCACAGCTAGACAAATACAGTTGCCAGGTTTATTTCAACCTCACATCAGGCTAGACAAATACAAGAAAGATGAAGAGCAGCAGCAACCTCTTTACATAGCCATCTAACTCAAAGAGGATATAGGACATTTCCACACCCCCTGGACTTGTCTCATCCTGCTGCAAGATGACAGACAAGACATGATGCACACCAACTGATCCACCACAGACCCATGATAAGTGCAAACTGGGGTCATGCAAGGCTGGAGTCTAGCTTCTCTACAGGATAAGTGAGACACTGTTCAACCTGTGTCACCACCAGTCTGGAATCAAGGCCGCCCCAAATTATGTTACTGAGCTGCAGTACACAGATGGTCGGAGCTCCGCTCCAGCATCAGTGTTAATGTAGTCATAAATGCATATTAGAAAATGGGTCATAGGCTAAACATCCTGAAGAGAAAGGACCTCTACCAGGTTACTCTTCTGTGCAACAATAACCCTCAACTATCAGGATCAACTGAAAGGCAATGGCCTAGTGGTATTATCACTGGACTATTAATCCAGAGACCTAGATAATGTTC